AGTTGATTATTGAAAGTAAACAAAGAATTAGTAAGATTTCTTCATTCAAACTTTATACAGGTATAGTTAAAAAAACATAAACTTTTTATTGTTTTGTTAGCTAACTCAAAGATCTAATAGAATAATAAATGTTATATTAGAAGATTAATATTTAACAAAAAATACTGTATCATAAAAATAAGGGAATTTAAAAAAATTTTGTGAATTTTTGCATAGTAGGTAAAAATTTAACAACTACAGTAATTTGAAAAACGCAGTAATCTCTTTAAATTCAAAATGAAATGTATTAGATAATACTTATTATCAAAATATCCAAATTATGCAGATTTTATGCTAGCAAATATAAATTATGCTAAATTCTGCTGCTAGCGTAATTATGCTAGCAAACTTGAATTATGCTAAATTATGCTAGTAGCATAATCCTGATCACCCTACCGATAAGCTCAACAATTACCAACCGAAAATACTACCACTACATCACTTCATCAATACATTTGCATGATCCATACTAATAACCGAGCCCTCTGATCAATTTACACTCCATGTTTGATTCGTGACAAAAGGCTGCTCCAATACTTTTGTATCGGGCAGCTATAATAGTGGTTAGACTTGAAAGGTGTAGTTTATTATTAATTCAAATAGCTATATAAGAGAAAAGAATTAAATAATTAGGGTAGCTGCACAGTGCATGAAGCCATGCAGGACCAGCAAGATCATGTATAATGTGTAAATCCGAACTATTCTAAAGTTATTTATAAAGAATTTTAATACTTAATAAACAAATTAAATAAAATAAAACCTAGAAATATAACGTAATGATGTATAGTAAATGCTATATGCTCAAATATTATCGTCTAGTGAGAAATTTTGATATTAAAACGCATTAATATATTTCGTTTGAGAAATTTAGATACGTTTTGATAACACATACCAAGTAGCTCTAGTCATTTGTTGAGCACAATTATCTTGAACTGCCAGGTAGTACGATTATTTTAACCTATCAATGTAATTTTTTCATGCACTTATTCTACTAAACATATATCTATTTATTTTAGATGATTGGTATATATTCTATTTAATCTTAAACGTCAAAAACAGTGAGTAAAATAATGGTTTCATTTTAAAATAAGTATTTTACGTAGATGGCAGAGAGTAGTTGACTATAAACAGAATCTTGAAGCAAAGTATAATCTGCCGCTTACACGGCAGATTATACTTTACTGCAAAATTCCATCTATACACAACTATCCAGGATATAATTATTATATACTAGACTGCTAATCATTTGTTTATTCAGTTATAAAATTTAGTATTCAGCTTCTGGTTCTTTCAGGACCTAGAAGCTGAAATAATAAATTTCAGATAATAAATAATTTTATAAATAATTCTCATCGTTGGCTGTTTTGTATCCTAGAATCAATTCCCACCTTACATTGTGCACTAGTCATATCTACTCTTGTTGGTTTGTTCTACGTGTTTAGTGTATTGTTATGATCCTATCACTTGTGATCCTGTGAACTATGGTGCCCAACGACAAAGCACAAGACTAAGTTTTTCGTTAAATGATTTTTACCAAAACTATTTTGTTGTGTAGGGTCACTAAAGGATCATTACATATTAATTGGGCATAAGATTACCCAATTACATGCTTTAGACCATTTTTATTTCACGAATTCTTTTCATAACAGGATTTTAGAAAACTACACCTTAAACTATTATATTAGAATAACAGTACGTATTTGTTGATGGCACTTATCATTTTTTGATATATGTTTATTAATTATGACGATATTAATTATGATATCTAATGACAGTTATCTCAATTAATAAATATGATTATCATAATAATACCTAAATCAGCAAAAACTTGATAACCATAATACTTTCTAAAATAGAAAAAAATATAGGTAACCAAAAAGTTGAACGGAACCATCCCTCCAACATTTCATGTGATCGTACTGGTATTATTTGTTATTTTTAGTAATAATTATTTATTATATAAGAGTCAACCAATTTTTTAGTATCAGTAATGTACAAATCAAAATTAACAAACGTTTTTTCAGATGACGTCAGTAAAGGGTTGAATTTGGATAAAACTGCTAAAGATCAATCCGGTTATTAACAGGGGCTTGAATTCATTCTTTAACCAGTTCAAGGCTAAATGTTTGCGGACAGGACCACGAATTATTTAGAGAATTATTCAAAAATAACAATTCAATCAATTACTATATTCAAATAATTCATTGTTTAAGCCAAATAATTTGGGAGGAAAATCATCCGACAAGAAAATCAAATAACCAAAAAATCAATTTACATACAACGTTTTCAAAACCGTGAAACATACGTTTACTTGCTTAGCTCTAAATAGATTGTAGATATCGGATAATAAAGAGTAAATGCGAATTTGGGAAATCAAATATATCAATATACGATTTTACAAGCGTTGTTTACAAGCGTTGTTTACGAGCGTTGTTCTATTGTGTTATAGGTAATGGCAGGTAGATCAAAATCAATGATGCAGAAATAGAAATTGGATCTCCAGAATCAGGATCTAATTCTATATACAGAATGGTATAAGCGATGACCATGAGAAAATAAATTACCTGAATCAGGTATCGCACATTAAAAGTTAGACTAACAATCTCAACGACACAAAATACAGGAGCAGGTGTTACTTTGGATGCGAAGATGTAACATGCGAAGTTTCAATATGCATTCACACCCTTGCTCCGCCATATGCATATATCCAATTATATGCAAGATTTTGTGTACGAACATCATTTTAATTTGCAATATAACCATACACTCCGTGAAATTTTCAATATCACTCCGTTCCTGGTATACACAGTTAAAAGTCAGCTATTTTATTTTAAACAAAGATTTCGGTATCCAAACATTGAGTTGAAAGGCTTTCACTTCGCTTTCTTCAGCTCCAACCAATAAAGAAATTACTTTTTTTAAAGAGAAACAATTATAAACCGAATTTTCGTTATGTATATTTGAAAAAAAACCAAACATAGAAGGTTATAAGTTTATTATATTTCCATTTTTTAAACTTTACATAAACCCAATTGTAAAGACTGTAAATCTTGTACGGTTAGATCTTTAAAAAATAAAAAGATACAATATGTTTATTTTAAAAGTAAATAAAAAAATACTATATAGAAAATAAACTCTTCATTTACGAATCATTTTATCTAAAAGAGATTAGTGTTTTTCTAAAACTAACACTAAAAAACTAAGCCTAGCAATTACAAGGGCTATAGTAACAGAAAAGATCATAATGCAAATAACTTTCCAGGAACTTGTTTCAGGCACATAAATACGTTTTCCAGGTAAAATTCTATAACAATGAGTATCTAACCAAATGTAATAAGCTAAAATTCCATATGACAACGCGTAACATAAAGCACTCAATAGATATCTGGTAATCAAAAGATAGAAAATTCGATAAATTTAAATAGATTTAAGTAATTTAACAATCCATCACTATAAGGATTTTATACAAAGACAGTGTACTTACGCATTAGGATGATTCAGAAATATTACATTTATGGAATCACCTAAAAGACGGACAATTGAAGAGAAAATCAATACCACAAGTTGTTTTGGTTGAGGGAGGAAACTTAGGGGAAGTGGATATTCAGAGCTAGGTTCATTTGGAATAGTGTCTTCTGATGTATCACTGGACTCTGGATTTTCATGTTCGGTATTTATAGGAAGACCACTCTCATGTTCGTGAAAATTTTTACGAGTGGTAAAGTACAACCGAAAGAAAGTGATTACGAATGCCACCTGTATACTTTGGGCTATTCAAAGGAATGATGGAATTATGATTCAATTATTTTATATTACGAAATAACGCCCGGTTATTTGAGGTATGCAATTTAAAGAGAATTTATAACTAATTTAACTGAGGATTTTTTTAAAAATAAGATTATAATTTGCATTCAGTTAAATTATTTAGCTCTCTTTGGGATTGCATTCCTTGAAATAACACCCCGGGGCGTTATTTTGCGCAAATGCGTTATATGTAGTGTTGTCAATTGGACTAATTGGACCCATCAATTAGACATATGTTCAATTTCAATTGGATATGTCCGATTAGTCCAATTGACTACACTGGGTATATGTATACCTTGTATCTGATACCAAAATGCATCATAAGGAAAATCCAACCATACGCATCCAATGGTTATTATGATCAAATATCTAAGTACCCATACCCAATACTTAATCGCAGTAATCTTTCCACCATAATGAATACATGCTAATAACGAAATCTCTGCAACGTTGCATAATAATCCAATTGGGACCCATAATTTCCCAATATCAAGGATCATATAAGCTACGAAAGCGAGCCATGTAAAAAAGATATAATTTGCTAAAAGTAAATTAAAATTACGGGTAGATGTGACCACTGTATTATTTTCATAAAAATGGGAGATAAGACGTTTATCTTGAGGAGGGTAAAATGCCCAATAAAAACCAAAAATACTAGCGAAAAAGCATATCAAGTTAGAAAATAACAAGATTGTATTGAGACGATTTGCATCGAGATCTAATATTAAGATAAAATTAAGATACGCATTAAAGAGATTCAAATTCGAAATTGATTCTAAATTAATACAATAATTTTAAGGACATTAGTAAACCTGGAATATTAGGATGCCATGTTGGATATCCGGTTAATGTAGAATTTGCTGCAATGGGCAGTTCAAATTTCTCTAGTCCAATAAATGATAATAAAACTACAGTTAACGCCAAGAATGATGCTATAACGGCTATCGCGGGTCCAATTATAATACTCATTTTTGAATTTTGAATCTGAAAAAAAAAAAAGGTCATGGTCTAATTTGTATATTTATATTACGACAATTTTTAGCCAAAGTCTCATGATTTACTAAAATGGCGTGCAATTATTGTGCAATTATTTGTACGAGTGATAACGTAAACCCCCGCATATATAAAGCGAAAAAAAAACTAAAAACAACAAACAAATAAAACAATGAACGTTTACATCTGCCTTTATGGCGCTCATTAGAAACGATGAAGATGAAATTCTACCTGAGGTAATTCATTGTTTTTCCTATGACTATGAACACTACTAACAGACTCTAACACTAATATCCTAACTAAAGGTTTGTATCACTCGCAGAAGTGACCACAAAATAATCAGGAGATCCCCCGCTTTGTTTGAATAAACAATACCGATACTCTAAGTATCAAAAACTAAAAAAAAGGAAAAGAATTCACACGCACAGAAAGTGTCGGATGATTTTTTATGCACTATTGCTAATCCGTAGTGCATAACATTAATGTCTATAAAGCCGTTAATCTGTAACGTAACGAATAAATATTATATAATAATTTATATTAAATAGATAAAGATATTACTCCTGAAACTTTATTATTAACTACAGAACTACTAGTAACAGAACTACACTGCTAAAAAGTGTTATATTATTTTACATCCGTTTTTATTATGTGGTCCCACTTACCGCATCACTTACTCTTGGATAATCTCTTGGATAGTCGCTTATAAAAAATTGTTTAAATTTAGGTATAGATAGTTTACTGAAAGATATTAATATCAACCATAAATTTGCCCAAAACAATAAAAGTGAAATTTTGTTTGCTTCTTTTAAAATACCATAATATAGTAGGTAATGGTCTATTCCAAACAAAATCATTCCCATTAACATCGTTACCCGATATTCATTATCTAATGAAAAACGAATTATAGTGAAAAAAAGTAAAAAAATAACTAATAATAAAATAATTATAAGTGGAACATGAATTTTAACATCGAAACCAGGCGTCATTTTGAATAAGAAGATAAAATCAATTTGGAAGAGGACAATATTTAGGACAATCAAAACACTGTAAGGTACTAAAACCTTCTGTCGCATAAGAGAATATAGACTGAAAAAAGAATACTAGGAATATTATTAAGGTAAAGTAGATTGAATAAGTTATGCGATTTAACCATATTGCATACGCGGGTCTCAGAATTTCTAGAATTGTTTCCGAGATTATAAGGATTAAAAGAATTCCAGTGATCGCAATATAAGGTATGTAATCGATTATTCCAAAATTAAACATATCAGAAAGTTGTAAGCTTGCTGATACTGTAGGAAGTAAATAAATTAATAAGGAAAGAAAGATACTTAAAGGTTTTCCTGCCATTATTTCTAATTCTGTAATTTTTTGAATATAAATTTATTTATTATTCCGCCGTTCTTATTTATACTTTTTCATGTTTATTTCCCGGATCTTGAGACTAATTCTTTTGTTTTAATGTTTCTCATACGTATCTTGTGACTTTTTTTTTGCCAAAAAAGTAACTTAATAGAGGAGACAGAAACCTCATGATTACTAAACTCTTTTCTGTGTTATGCATAACCGTGTGGCTTATAATGGAATCTTATGGCACAATGAATCTTTGTGTACGCATAAAAGTTACACAAGTTATGTTATAAATTATAGATACACCCTCAGAAATAAAAGTAATAAATGATTAAATTGTACCGTATTACAAGGACAACAGTACATAACCGGTAGCAAATTCTTCATTGTTAGTATTAGTACATATTTGTGAATAGCTCACATATGACAAGTTAAAGTATTCTTAGAAAGTTTTCACTTTGTTGACAATATTCACCAATCAAAAAGTTATCTCTTAAACCGTTTGAAATTCAGGGCAGATCTGCCCTGAAATTTTCCGATGATCACGTGTATTATAAATGCACAAAAAATAATAACATAGATTATACAATACATCATAAATAAATATGAAAATATTATTTATTTTATTTATTTATGTTCATGGTACTTTTTCATTTACAGTTTCGTCATCAGTTTCATCCTCAAATTCTTCTTCAGTCATCGTCCATAGGATCATTGACCGTGATTTCATTCTCAATTTCGGTAATTATTCGTGTAAACTCAAAGGTATATGAGTCATTATCTTCAATATCTGCAC